TGCGGAAGCGGCTTTAGATTCTCAGTGCTGTGCTTTAACCCGCTGCGCCACCAGGGAGGGCCCGCATCTTAGTGATTTTTAAGTGTTAAATATGAATTGTGGTGGAGTGGACCTTTAGAATGTTACATCTTGTGAAACTGAAATTATATATCCATAAAATAACTCATTTTTTCCTGTCCCTAGACTCTGGTAACCAGTCTACTTTATGTACCTTGAGTTTACTTTAGATACTTTATGGGATCATGAACTATTTATATTGTGTGACTTAAGTCTTCTCAGGATTATGTCTTCAAGTTTCATCCATATTCTATCATAAGACAGTGGTCAGTGGTTTTTTCCTTTTTTTTTTTTTTTTATTTTTGATTAGATAATATTCCATTGTTTGAGTATGCTGTATTTTGCTCATCTAACCATGGTCAGTAGATTCTTGGGTGTTTTCACTTGTTTTTATTTATTTATTTATATTTACTTGTGAATAATGCTGCAATGAAGATGTGTATGAAGATTCTTTGAGATGCTGCTTTCAGTTCTTTTGGGTACCTACCCAGAAGTAGAATTGGTAGATTATATAATAATTTTAATTGTTCAGAAACCTACATACAGTTTTCCATATCAGCTATACCACTTTATAATCCCAATAACAGTGTACAAGGTTTCTAATTTTTCAAGATCCTTAACATGTTATTTTGCTAGTGGTCACTTGAACTAGTAAGAGATGATACCTTGCTGTAGGTTTGGTTTGGGTTTTTTCTAATGGTTAGTGATGTTGATCATCTTTTCAAATGTTTGTTGGCTATTTGTATCTTCTTTGGGTAAGAATCTATTTCAAATATTTTGCCCATTAAAAAAAAATCAAGTGTCTTTTGTTACTGAGTCTTAGTAATATTTTTTTGTAAATTTACAAATACTTCTAGATAGGTTGCTATGTTCTTCTGTTGACTGTTTCCTTTACTGTACATTTTTTATTGTTGCTCCATTTGTCTATTTTTGCTATTGTTTGTGCTTTTGATGTCACAAAGAAATCACTGCCAAATCCTACATTATAAAGCTTCTCCACCCCCACCACACCTGCCAACCCCACTTTTTCCTTTGGGTTTTATAGATTTAGGTCTTTGATCCATTTTGAATTGCTATTTAAATTATGGTCACGGTAAAGTCATTACTTCTTTCTACTTTTTTTTTTTTTGTATATATGAACCTAGTTTTTCCAGCATCATTTGTTGAATATTCACTAGACACTTAAAAAATAAGTAGTTTCTCTCCATTGTGTAGTTTTGGGACCCCTGGAGATCATTTGACCACATCTATGAAAATGGATCTTCAGACTCAATTCTTGTTCATTGTTCTATATGTCAGTATCACACTATTTTGTTTGCTCTTTTGAAATCGGGCAGTGTGAGTCTTCAGTATTTGTTCGTTTGTTCTTGGGAGTGTTTTGGCTAGTTGGGGTTCTTTGATATTCCATGGAAATTTTCAGATGAATTATTCTTTTTCTGCAAAAAAATGGCATTGAGATTTTTGTAGGTTGCATTGGATCTGTCATTATCTTGAATAGGAGGACATTTTAACAATAAACTCATAAAGATCATAAACACAGGATGTCTTTACATTTATTTGTATTTTATGTTTTTAAGCAATGATTCATAGTTTTCATTGTAAAAGCTTGGCAAGATTTTGATTGAGATGATGCTAATCTATAAATCAACTTGGAATTGATAGCTCTGATTCATCAATATGATGTAATTCTCCATTCTTTGGGGTCTTTTTTATGTTCTTATAGCCATACTTTGTATTTTAGTGTTGATAGATAAACATAATTTCCTCAATAGAATCCTATTTCATATTTTTATAACACTATGTATCAGTTTTAAAAATTCAATTTAAAACTTCTTGTTTCAGTTGATTTTGTAGATTACATCCTGTGATCTTAATTACATTTTTAACTTCTCCCCTGACATAATCATATAAATCTGAAAGTACAGTTATATTTCTCTTTCCAATACATATACCCTCCCCACCATAACCCTACCACCCTTCTAGTCTCTTCTTGTCTAGGATTTCTAGTATAATGGTGAAAAGAAGTAGTCAAAGTAGACATTCTTACCATAACCTACACAAGGAGTAAGAACATTCATTCTTTCACTATTAAATGTGATGTTAGCTACCTTCTATCAAATGAAGTTTTCTTCTATCCTTAATTGCTGAATTTTCTCCTTTATGATATTGTATTTTCTGTTGCTGCCATAATAAATAATCACAAAACTAGCAGATAAGACATCCTCTCACAGTCTGATTGATGAATTAAAATTAACATGGTGTTAACTTCTATTCCTTGCTGAGGTTTTAGGAGTGATCTTATATCTTGTTCTTTTAGATTGTTGGTAGAATTAAATTTCTAGCAGTTGTAGTATTTTTTACAGGTCCATTATTTCTTGGTTGGCTGTTGGGTCTGTTCCTAGCTCTTGGCAGATAAAATGATGGTTCCCCAAAGAGGATTTGGTCCTAATCTCCAGAGTCTGTGAACAGTATCTTATGTAGAAAAAGACACTTTGCTATCCTTACTGAGTTAAGAATCTTGAGATGGGGAGGTTCTCCCCATCTCAGTGGACTCATGCAACTACAATGGTTCTAAAAAGTCACACAAGGAGATGTGACAACAGAACAGAGGTTCGAGTGACCAGGGACTTTGAGAAGAGGAACTCAGGCAGCCTCTGGGAGCTCATTAACAGATTTCTCTTAAAGCGGCCAGGGGAAATGAACCTGCTTACACCCAAGCTTAAGTGCAGACCTGTAAAAGTAACAAGTTGGTTGGTTTTTTTTTTTTTTTTAAGATTTATTTGTACATACAGAACTGGGGTACAGGCCAGAGTTGTTGTGGCAGTGAGAGGATTCACCAGAGACAGAGTAGAGAGCAGGACAGGCAGATCCATGAAGTACACTGTTGAGGGGAGCAGTGGGCAGGTCATGAGAGGTCTGCCATGCCATGTGGAAAGCCTCTGGGGCAGGCAGCAGGGATCAAATTCATGTGGAAGTGGCTTTAGCTTCTTAGTGCTGTGCTTAAACTCCCTGTGCCACCAGGGATGGCCCTGTAATAAGTTGTTTCAAGTCACCTAAGTTTATCGTTGTTACAGAAACAATAGGAACTAGTACACCAGCTTCTAGATGCTTCTGTATTCCTTGGCTGTGGCCTTCTTTCTTCAAACACAAGAGTGATGGGTTACATCTCTTTGAGACACTCTTACCTCCCTTTATTACTTTTTAGAACTCACATGATTAGATTGGGCCATCCTGGCTACTCTAGTATAATTTATTCATCTTAAAATTAGCTAATGAGCAAATTTATTGTGTTTTACTGTGCTTTTTAATGCAATACATTCAGAGGTTATAGGATTAGATATATTTGTGGGACCATTATTCTACTACAGTTCTATTCATTGATTTAGTATAAAAAATATGTATAAAATTTAACATGTGTACATTATAGTAGTATTGTACTATATATATATATGCACACAGTACTGTATGTAACTATAGTATATTCACAATATTTTGCAGCTACAACCATTGCCAACCATGTATCTCCAGAACTCATATATAACATACTCTGTACCCCTTAACTAGTAACTCCTATATTCCTCTTCACCCAGTGTCTGGAAATTACCAGTGTAATATCTTATCACTCTGGATTTGATATCTTGGAATTTTATAATATTCATTATTTTGTGTTTGGATTACTTTGTGTAGTGTCTAAATTAGACACTAATTTTTGATGTCCCTCCCTTTTAAGACTGAAAGATATTCTATGTTTATTAAATTACCATGTCATGGACATCTGGGTTGCTTTTTGTCTATTACCTAGTGAATAATGTTGTGTGAACAGTGTGTACAAGTATCTGCTCTATTCCTTTCTCAAGGCTGTATTTGCCCACAAGTGGAACTGTTAGTTCAGGTAGTAATTTGGGGGTATGTAGTAACTTCAGGCTATATTTAATTTTGGGATAACTGTCATACCCTTCACAATAGTGGCCCCACAATTTAACATTCCCACCAGCAGTGCATGGATTTCAGTTTTTCTACATTTGCACTAATACTTGATATTTTCCCCACCCCTTCATAGTAGCTATTCTGATGGATATGAGGTGATATATCATCATTTTAATTTGCATTTCTCTAATGACTTAGGGATGTTGAGTCTGACATGCTTATTAGCTGCTTTTGTACATATTTGATGTACACTTTTTAACCTGGTTTTTCATGGAGTTGTAGGTAGTATTTGTAAATCATATCTGATAAGGTGCTGATAGCTTGCTTTTTCAAGTCCTTTACTACATACATTTTTCATTTTGATTTTCTTTTGTTGGAAGTACTACTGGTTTAAGAGTTATTATTTTAGGTGCTAGATTTAGGTCAGTGTTTTAACCTTTGAGAAACTGGGTATCTATATACAAACAGTTTAAGAAACTATTTATCCCATTAAATGGTCTTAGCTGAAATGTTGGAAATATTTCACTCTACACATGTGCCTTTAGGCCATTACCATACTTTAGCTGTCATTTTGTTGTAATTTTTAAATCAGCAAGTACCTTTTTCTCCTCCAGGACTGCTTTGGTTGTTTAGTATCTCTTGTACTGTTAAGAAATTTCAGAATGAAGTTTCCTATTTCTACATAAAATGTCATTGGGATTTTGATAGGGACTGCATTGGTTCTATAGATTACCTTCTGTACCCGAAGTCCACAGCTTGGGCCTCCGGTCACCACCAAATCCAAAACATAGAGACAGGAATTGAATTTTTAAGATATGCTTTACTGAAACAACCAGCAATATGGCAGATGGGAGGAGTTAACACCACCAAGACAGTTGTTCAGCAGGAAGCCAGCCTCTACCGCTGCCAGGAGTTTGTGAAATCCATCCCTAGGAGTTCTTTTCCTTGCTGGACATCTGGTCTTCCGATAGTCATGTTTTGCAGCATTCCTTGATATGTTCTGGGGCTGCAAAATTCACTCAGAATAGACAGGCTATAAGGAATGTTTTGTATATGAATTTTCTTACAGTACTTGTATTAACATATGTAGCCCAGGAGCGTCTTTGTGTTGTCAGGATAAAACAGATTATTAAGAGGACATGTTAATTAATAAGCCTGGATGATAACCTTGCAAACTGCCTTTTATAGCTGCTTTATAAGAAATGATAAAGGACTCTCCAGAGTCCATAGTGTCGCAATCTACTAAGGCTTGGGCATTCAAGAAAAGTCTAAACTTTAGGGGACACTGATCCCATAGTGTTATTTCAGTACAATTCTTTTACATCCTTGTTCAACTTTATTATGAGGCACTTAATGCCATTCATAAATGTAATTTTCTCCATTTCTTTGTGGATTCTATATTGTTAGTGTATGGAACCCAACTGATTTTTTGTGAGATCTTTTAAGGTTGTGCTCCCTCTTTTTAAAATTTCATCGTACTTAATCAGTGAAGTCATGTAGGCATGGAGTTTTCTGTTTAGGAGAGGATGCAATCACAAATTTCAATGCGTTAAAGCTTAGCTTTTAATAAGGCCATCAGATTTGTGAGTGTTCTCACCTTAGGGTTTACATTTTTATCACTTTAAAATATTTTTGACACACTGTCTTGTTCTTATCTTGGCTCTTGCTCTTTTGCTTATAGTTACAAGGGCTTCTTTATATCTGTAATAACAGGAATCTCTTAATATCTATCACCATATAGGTACAAACAATCTTTGTGAGAACTCTAACTTTGAAAAAATAGGGTCAAAACTTGCAAAGTGGTATTCTGCTTCATTCAAGAGTGTGAGAATTCTAGTTGCTTCATGGCATCAATTTGAAAAATACTAAAACATCAGTCACAACCAGGATATTGATTGAGACAGTCCACAGAACAGTTCTATGCCCATAATTATCCTTTCAGTTAGTTGCCTTTTTATAGTTAGCTACCTTTCCAGTTTTACATAGAATTATAGTAAATAACCTTTTGGGATTAGTTTTTTTTCCCTTATAGAATTACTTTTAAATTATGAAAGCACTTTGTGTTATTGAAAAATATAGATCAAAATCTTCCAAAATATTTCTATCAAATGGCATATAAATTGAAAAATTTTGCTATTATTCAATGTATTAGATATAGTACTCCTCATTATTGTATTCTGAATCTTGTATGAATATGCCATAACATTACCTCTTTAATTATTCAGTACACTGAAGATTCCCTTGTTTAAATATTTGTGCCCATTTAGAATTCCAGATAAACATTAGAATTGTTATATAATACCTTTGCACTAGTCAGATGTTTTATACATATCAGGTCTTTTGTGAATAATTATGATCACATTTACAACTCATTTGACCACCTGCTTTTTCTGTTCTCAATTATGTAGAGAACACCCTATTTAGCTTCTTTTGTTGTACAAGTACATTGATTTTTGATTCGAGGCACACAATACTGCTTTAATGGAATTCTGTCTTTTAGCTATTCTCATTCTACACATACATTCCATAGCCTTCCTTGGTTATTTTCTCAGACCTATCTCTGCTCATCAATTCTGCAGTGTTTTATGCTATCTAATCTTCTAGTGGAGTTTTAAAAATTTCAATGTCTATATTTGTCATTTACAGAACTTTGGGTAGCATGTATATTAAGGGCATAGACTGTGGAGCCAGACCACCTAGATTTAAATCCTAGCTCTGTTGCTCCTTTCTTGTGTGACCTTGGAAGATGATTCAAGCCGTCTATCAGTTTGTTCCCAAGGATGCTGTGCATACTGACTTTATTGGGTAACAGCACCTGCATACAGTCTGTTAGTTAGTGGTGTCTTTCTAATGGTATCCTGCCTTTTGTCACTAGTGTTCAGTCAAGTATTACTGGGTAATTCCAGTTTGGAAGCAGAGCATAGAGCTCTGAGAAATATTTGCTCAGTACATTTCCTACAGTGATAGGTTTGTAGCAGTGTTTTTTTCATTTTGGGCCATAGAGAGAGTTTTGACTGTGAAGCCCATAAAAGCATGAGTGGTATAACTCTTGCTAGAAACCAAGAAACTTGAGTTGACAAACCAAGAGTTTCAGATGATACTGTTTAATGAAAAAACATTTTAAAATAGTGAAGCTATGCCCCTCCCTGCCATGATACATTTGATTCCAAATAAGCCAGTTGCAGTAAACTTAATGTATGAAGTGACATCCTAGTGAATTGTTTTTTTTAGTTGTTTATACCTGAAAGGCTATGTGTAGGTGGTATTGGGAATATGGACTTAGAGTTACAAAAGCTGATACTAAAACCTATGGCAAAATGACAGTCTACAATCAGATGTACAGTATTAAACTTAACTATGCAGCCTTGCTAAGCATCACCATTGATGAAACCAGTGCCTATAATTATGTGTTTTATATATATGTATTATCAAACATACCGGTAGTAAGCTCTAGGTTGACTTCATCTGTAAAAAGACAATTCCACCTAAAACATTGAGAAAGGAGGAGAAAAAATGATTCAATTGCAATTCAGACCAAAAGGGCTTTTTAAAAAAACTTAGATCATGATAATTATAAGCTACATTCCATAGCATACGCATCCTTAATTAAGCACCAGACATAATGTATCACCATATGGCATGCAACATACAACTAAAAGGTGGACTGTGTTATATACTATTCAATTTAGTTTTATTATTGTCACTGAGGTCACAGTAGTAACCTACAGTACATCATGTATAGACCAGTGTGATACTCAGCATAGTTACAGTATACGTCTACTTAAACTATTCTTACAACTTAACAGTAGGAGACATTACCCAAATTAACACTGGGCAAAGGATTTAATTACATATTTCTTGCAATTAAAAAGATTCAGTTTCATTCGGGTTATACAAATCAAAACCACACATGGACCCTAAGGTTAAAAAAGAAAAAATGTAAATAATGTGGTGACAAGGTTGGCAATTCAAATTATAGCACATGACCAATAACTAAGATTAATGTTTATGTGCAAATTTTTGCATAGCAGCCTTATAGTTAAAAAGTAGAAATTTTGAATTGAAAAATGTGGTCTCTCCATACAATGTAATATTATGTACCCATACAAAGAATCCCTGCTATCATAATGTTTGCATGGTTTATCCATAGCATGGTAAGTAGAAGTAGCATGTGTTGATTCTACTTAAAGGAAATGTCCAGAAAAGGCAAAAATTCATAGAGCTAGAAATCAGAAACACTGCTAATGGAGATAGGAATTATATTTCAAAAGCAAAAAATGGTAAAATCTATTTAAATGAGCTTACTGCTTAATGTGGAATTAAAAAAAATCAGATTCATACAGAACAGATTTGATAAACTATCAGTTCTAAAACAATTCCTGTGGATGAAATGTATAAATGGCTATATAGTTAATACTGTATTCTAGATGTTGTTGTGAGGATATTAGCTCTTTAAAGTAATCATCACAGGACAAAAGCAATGATTTGTCATTGAGTCTCATTATGTTATATAATGGCAGTTGTATCTCAATGAAATAAATCTTCCTAAGAAAGAGCAACCTATTAGAAAAATAGGCCACAAAATATTAAGTTTCATAGGAATAAAAATCTGTGGCTTTTAAACAGGGGGAAAAAATTTTCTCTCTCGACAACTTGATATACTATCATGTTGTTCAGGAGAGACTGGTAAACACCCAGTTTGGTGACATTTTCTTGGTGAAGATCTGCAGAAAAAGACTCGACATTTTTAGTAAGAAGTGGTATTATGTCTAGGAAGTGTTGGCATGTCTAGCAAAATTAAACATTTAATCCTTGATGGAGCAACTGACTTCTCCCAAGGTAAGACTATTCATTGCAGCACTAATTTATAAAAGGCATGGATTAGAAACAACCCAGATGTCCATCAGGACCTCCACGTGTAGGTTCTATGACGTGAGAAAAAACAAGAACTAACTTAAAAACCAACCAGTCACAAGGCATCATGATAGCTTTTCTGTAAGACTGTATTGTGTATATACATGAATTTGCTTATATAGTTTTTAAAGGTGTCAAAGCCCTAATACATAATTACCAAAATGGGGGAGGGTAGAGATAGAGTAGACTGCTCTGAAGCCATTTATATTTTAAATGGTTAAAACATTACATAAAAAAGGGAGGCAAGAGGACCAAACTGTCAAGTTGGTAACAACTGAAATCTTTTTTTCTCCCAAGTAATTTTCAACACAGTATTTCAATTACACAACCCTAGTAGGTCTATCTAGGTGATAAGCAGCACCAGAAAGAAATCATTAGATTCTCTTAGTCTGTCAGTATATCGATTTGCAGAATAAAGCAAATACATTATTGTGTAACTGGGACTGTGATTTTAAGTACTGAGTTTTAAATTTAAAGTAATGAGGCAAAAGCTCTTAATTTTTATAACATGTACAAAGGCTAAGAATTTTGCAAGAACATGGCATTAACAACCTGTGCAGGTTTTTGTTTTTTTTTTTTTTAAATCCCTTCACTGTTGATTACTTAGTGGGTTGAGTTTTATAATTTCTGGGTATCTTTCCTGACTTTTCAACATGTCAGAAAATTTTACTGAGTTATTCCTAAGGCTCTTTCATCTTTAACCATGTAATTTTAAACACAGCTAATGGGGCAATTAATCTTACCTGTTGTAGTATTCAAGAGCTTATGACACTGGTTCAAGGAAATTTGCATGGTGTTAATTCCCTCACAATTCAGTTTATTGTACAACTATTTTTAAAGTAGCTTTGCCACAAGACAACAGACCACTCAATCATAGTAAGGTCTGTGGCAATGGAGTTATCATTACCCCCTCAGTTTTCTCTTCCTAATGTTTATGTGATTTTATTTTTTAGATGGCTACTCATATGAAAGGGAAGCAATGGAAAATTGGATCAGCAAAAAGAAACGAACAAGTCCCATGACAAATCTTGTTCTTTCTTCAATGGTACTTACACCAAATAGGACTCTGAAAATGGCTATCAATTGATGGTTAGAAATGCATCAAAAATAAATTTCTATTCTATTGTATTATCTACATTTTTATTGATTTTCCTTTGGATGATTTAAAGGTCAATACTAACCAGGAATTATTGAAAGGTAAACCTTTAAAGTTATTACTTTCATTCCTTAAAAACATATGGTCTAATCATTCATCTAATTACTTTTCATTGTCTTTTTGTAGTACAGAAAAAAAATCTTAATAAAGTTTTTACTTTAAATGTTAAAGGCCAAAAAGTTATTTTTGTAGGTCATATTACAGTAAAAAGACATTAATTTGCTAACTTTTTGTAATCTAAGAAAAATTTGTAGCAAAATAGATTTGTTTTATAACTAAGTTGAGAAAATAACCTTGACATGTTGAATAGAAGAGTCTCATTGGATTCAAAATTTGCAAGGAGCATTTTTATACAATAGACTGATATTTACACCTGGATTAACATTCACTCATGAAGAAAACTTCAATTTCAAGAAGTTGAGTTTGTACCAACTTTACATACCTGTCATGGGTTGTTTTACAGAGACAGAGGCCAATAGATAGCTTGTTACTAAACTATAAAGGATAGGCAGAGAGCAAGATTCTGTGTATACTCCCAAAATCCTTAGTGCAGTTATTATTGAACATGAAAAGGCAATGTAATTATAGCACTGAATCTTTTCCTGTATTTTATAGACTGCAGTTGACATAGACATAAAGCTGATATACTTTATGTTCAAAGAATGGTAGAAATTATACCTACCAGAGAAATCTTCCGATGCTTTTTGAGTTGCTGTTTTGTAAATTTTCTTTCAGAATTCACAATCTATAAATTTATAGGAGTTCCTCCCTTCCCCCCATGCTGCATTCTTTTCACCTATGAGGATAAAAAGTTGGATTTTCTATATGTATTTTTAAAATTTCTATTCTAATGAAAGTATGCTAACATAATTGTCATTTTTAAAAAATTGACTAAAAAGCCCATCACTAAACTAAATCTCTAGTTTTGGTAAATCAGACTTTCTAAAGGAAGGTAACTGGTTTTTACATAAAAATTACCAAAAGTAACCCAAACCACAAAATCATTGGTAGAAAACACAGACTTTAAAATGGTAAGTGGTTTTCTGTTCCATGATTCACCAAGAATTTCTTATAAAATTAAATTGTTAAAAACTAAGATATTAATACCTTAATGAAATGCCTGTTTTTATATATAAACTAAAGCCAAACAACTCCTCTCCACAAACACATAAGCAGAAACACTAAAACCATAATTCCAAGGACTACAGGAAGGGGCGCTTGCCGCTGCATAATCATCTGTGGGCTCTCAGGTCTGTCTGGGACCTGAGTCAGCACACTCACCTGACCAGTAGTTGTCCAAGGAAACTTCTTCCTGGGGTAAGTGGGCCAAATTCACACAATGACAACAATTATTAAAACACTTTCCCCCTTCCACCTAGCTTTTTTTCTTTAGCCTTAGTTTATATATATAACGTTAAAGGAATACTGAAATTAATTTGCTTAACCATACTAGTAATGTCAATAACAGAATAACCTGAAGTCTACTGTTAAGGAATACTTACGCTTAAGGTGCCAAGTTAGAATTTTATCACCATATAAAGGTTCACTCATTCATTTTACTCTGAAATGGAAATACTTGGGTATATAGGAAATACACCAATGTGCTGAACAAGATTTAAACCTGTTAAGTGTACTGAAGTTACAGTATAAAAGATATTCTGATTCTATAGAGCAAGTATGTAGACTACTCTTCCTCATGTTCTCCTACTATTTCAGACAAAAGAATTCTGGATCCCTGAATATTCTGAAGTTGCCACTATTGTTCTGAAATTACATATGTATGTAGAAGTAACTGTAAAAAAGTGCTTTTTACTACTTAGACCAACAGGATATTCTCCACTTACCCATTGTTTCATTGAATGCGAAACAAATTCTATTAATAGTCTTTATTCCATATGGAAAAGTACAGTAGTTGTGCAGAAAACAAAACTACTTAACAGAAGAGTAAAACTTTCACAAACATTAAAGAAAAAAATTAAAACAATAAATAAGCCATAGTAGTTACAGCAGAACTCATGAAAAGCCTATAAAAAACAAAAAAGCTATACAAAGTATATGTACATACTGAGGAACAAATGTTGAAGAATGACACCAGAAGATTCCTATTTGTACAAAACCATAATGATGCCCACAGGAACTTGATTACAACTAATCATTTTAAAAAACACTCTGTAAATATAGAACTTCCTTCTCTCTAATTCTAGAAAATAAATTTCACATCCCAACATAGAAAACAAATACATTCCCTCCTCTTAAACTAGCATTCTGACATCCTCCAATAACACATCATCTTCATATAAAAATACCTTTAAACCTAGATTCATTCCTCTACCTCATCTTTATAAATGAATAATACATCAGTTTGGACTAAAGTAGCACCTCAAAGGTGTTTGTATAAATGAGATAAAGTGCCGTTACTGGTATACTGTTAACATGCCACACACAATAATATATCGGTCAGTGCAATAACCAGCATGGATGAAGCTTACAAAAGCATGCAAATATGACTTTTTAAAAGATTACTTGAAATAGTTATATTTACAAGTTTGACTGTAACTTGGCTATTTAATATGTACAGCATGTGACTATAAAGCAGTGATTTTACAATAAAACAAAAACAGTCAGCAACCATACCTTAAGTATCCAAATTAAATATTGTCCTTAAAGGACCTTAGAAGGCTTGTTCTGGGAGTGCTATCATTGTTAAAAGCAGTTTCAAAACCAGTTGAGAGCTAATTTACAGGTCACCAAGAATGCTGGTCTTAGTACTGGTGTTAGTAATTTAATCCAAATCCTATTTGACCACCAATCATGATTCCAAATGGCTTATACTGCTTTCAAATATTAAAAACATCTTAAAGCATGAATTTAATTCCAAAAAGGTGCTATAAAAATATTTTGAATAAGAAACAAACATGGAAATGTTTAATCTTCTTAAAGGAACTGCTATAAAGGAAAAGATAAGTGAAGTTTTCTTATTTTCCTAAAAAAAAAATTTAACATTTGCAATCATACTTATAATTCAGCTAGAAATCCCTTAGATCTTAATTTTATATGTCTATATCTATCTATATATAAATTGGGATTAGACTCAACAGTATGTCAAGTTGAAACATAATTTTTCCCCAGGATAAATCATTTGGATATTATGCTGTGGGTTAAACCTAACACTAGACATGTATATTCTGTAAGAAATATTGTGACTTTTATCATATAGCAAAGGCTAGCAGAAAAGTGGGAGAAAAATCCAATTTAATAAGATAAGCACTAATATCTTCTTGACTGTCGTAAATTTTTAATTCAATAGGTTTAACTAGATGTAATTTTTCATTATGATTCACATTCTTATTTATGGTGACTTCTAAGCTAGCGATTAAGTTTTACCCCACCTGTTTGATAATGGCATCTGATCTGCCTCGGAGGGAGAGAAAAGTATGGCCTACAATGTAATTTTTCTCATGAGAAACCATTTGATTACCACCAGCCTTCAACAGTTTTCTCCAAGTTCTACAATGCATCTCTCTTAAGACTCACACATTTGACTCTATGAATGATCGCTTTGGTTTTGCTGAAGGGAGGTGACTCCTGTGGGCTTCATTGCTGATGTGAGGTTGCTGTTTAGAGACACTTTCCTGATACATATGAGAAACAGTCTTACTTATCCTGTTATCTGGACAGTGGACTGGCATTTGACACTTCTTTTCTTCTAGCTCCTTCACCTGGGCACCATTGTGAACACCCCCACCCAGCGTAGAAACAGAACAGGTTTTGGCTTGGCTAGTGTATCCTCCTGCTTGTTTGAGAGAGGTCTTCTCAGAGTTCGAGGCTTGCAGGCCAGCTGCAGACGTGTTGGTCAGGAGCCCCTCTGAGACTTGACAGTGCCAGGTGCGGTTTGGAACACTGCTCTGCTGCTGGAACCTCGCAGTCTTATCCATGATTCCCATGAACGGGGTATTGCGTGGTCTGTGCTCGGCTGTACCACTTGGGACCTGGTTAACCACTTTGTCTTTCATTCGAGCATCTGGTCCCTGTACCTTGAAGCCCTCAGAAAAACTGCTGCTTGAAGTCAAACTACTGGTTGAACTTGACATCTTAATGCTGCTAGATGGGGAACCAGAAGAACCTGAGCTGGCATGGGAAGCTGGGTGTCGCATGTCGCTCAATGGCCCGCCTTGATTTAAAGGGGCTATATCTGCAGCAACGGAAGCATGCGACAGGAGCCTCTCCGCGGTTTTTATCTTGCTGGGTAAAGGATATACAGCCACACTCTCACTGTGCTGCAGCTGAACACTGTGGCCAGGCCCCAACCGCTCTCCCAAGTGGCCTGAGGCAGCTCCTACAGTGAAAGTCCCTGAACCTTCTAAATGCTGGGTTCTGCTGCCAGCAGGAACTACAGGGTTTCTACCTGGCATGGGACTCAGAGGAGGATTCTGAGAAGAGACTTGAATTTTTGTACTACTGTTTCTCAAGGCAGACTGTCCAGAGCCCAGGTGCTGGTTGGTTTTTACTATCTGTGCCTGCTTGGTGGGCTGCATAATCAGACCTGGCTGGCCCACAGGCTCTCGCAGGGGCTTGCCGATTCCAGGCCTATTCTGTGGTGATGCTGGCCTCATTTTCGACTGTAACCCTTCTTGAAGGTTTCTAATATATGGGGAGGGGACTGAGGACGGCTGGGATCTAGGAGCTGGGGAAATAGGTTCTTCCTGAGGAGATGTTTCTTCTTCAGTCTCAAGATGGAAGTGGTCATTTAATCCAGGGGTTGTGATATCCTCTTCATTATCGGAATCATTGGGGGGAGCTGGAGGTGGGCACTGCTGTTTCTGCTGTTGGCTCCTCTGGAGTTGCTTGCATTCCTCTTCTACTCGGGCCAAAAGTCTCTTGATTTCCTGGTTATTGGGACAGAGTTTCACTGCTTCCCTCAAGTCAGCCAGAGCTGCCACAAACTGCCTATATATTAAAAAGAAGATAAAATTATAAGCTATGGAAGCACATGGTCTGAATGTACTAACTTGACAAAACTAGGCTACCTAAAACTACAACTCCGAAAAGAAAAAAGGTGGCATCAGAGTGAGTTCTGGACATTCTGCAGTATACAGGATCTACTTAACCAGCTTAGGGGTGTTGGATTTGAACCCCTATCTGTGTAACTCCAGAGCTGGGATGCTTCTGTGCAGACCACTGGACTCGGAATGAGAACAGATCTGAATCCTTGGCTTGGGTGTCAGAATCAAAGCTTCCTTCACCACCTCTCACTTTACCCACCTCTGCAAGGCTTCTAAGTCTGCTCCCACCGTCCCACCACCTCCTTTTTTTTTTTTTTTTAAAGATTTATTTGTGCATACAGAACTGGGGTACAGGCCAGAGGCTCAGGGGCGGCGAGAGGCTTCACCAGAGACAGAGTGGGGAGCAGAACAGGCAGCTTTACAAAGTACACTGCTGAGGGGAGCAGCGGGCGGGTCAGGAGAGGTCTGCCACACCATGTGGTCACCTCCGGGGCAGGTGGGAATCGAACTCATGCAGAAGTGGCGTTAGCTTCTTAGTGCAGTGCTTTAACCCGCTGCGCCACCAGAGCCCACCATCTCCTTTTAATGTCCCCAGTTGGCAGTTTCACTGACAATATGGACTAATATGGGAGCTTTATGTTATAATGTCAACTGGGAAGAATGGGAGGTAAAGTTATTGAACAGTCGGGAGGAAGTAATAAGCCATTGCAGTAATATCCACTACTTGCCTCTTGGAAGCTACGAGTTTAGTGAGAAATGAGTCACCTGAGTAATGCTTATAAGCCAGAGGCCCCCAAAGGCAACCAGCAACTTTGATACCACAGAAATACAAAAGGCATCTCTACTTACACCATCTGGCCTCAGACATTACCTGCTATTTCTCTTTGCTCTTGCCCTGGCATAGAAAGCTTCATAGGATTTTGGTTTCAGTTCAAGAGCCTTGGAAGCAAATTCTTCTGCCATGCCAAAATCCTGGTGTCAATATTTAAACACGAGTCAAAAGCGGCACTGAAACATACTACAGGCAACCTTTTAATAGGTGTTTCATTCTAAAGGTTAGGAGAGAACTGAGATATCATTGTAGAGAGATGAAAGGCAAGTTTGGAATTCTTTTCTATTTTAAAGCTATTTTAAAGCTTATTAATTTTCTTAAGAGAAGATCCATTAGAAAAATAAAGCTGGAGAGGGAAGGTGTGGAGAGAAGATGGGACGGGAAGGGAGGGAAGAGGTAAAGAGAGAAAAGAGAGAGAACAGTGGTAGAAGCAGTGCCCATGAGGCAGGTGCAGACAGATGCCACACACCAGCCTCAGGGGGGGCACGTCACTTCACACTCTGTAGCTAAAAGGCCAGCGGGTCTGTGCAAAAGCAGGCAAGTTACCAGATACAGCTGTGGGAAGATGAAATTAAAAATGAAGTGAAAAATTTACTAGTTACCTATGAGTTAACTATTACAAACAGAAACACTAGGCAGATGAAACACTTGTGTTAACTTCTGGGATGGGCCACTACGATAGGGCTGGCAATTCAGCTGAAAGAGGGTGGAGGAGTGATCTGGGTTGCTTCTCGTCGTGGAAAGAGGACACTTGCCCCAAGTACACTCTGGCAACATCTTGAGGGGAAGGGAGGGTCAGTGATCAAACGATGGTCATGTGAGGGAAGCAGCTTCATGTGCCAGACTCACAAAAGGTGCTAGCAAATCAGAAAGTATAGCCCATTCTTTGATCTATGGAAGGTGGTCCTTTACCACTAGGAAAACCTTGCTATTAAAGGATGAAACACAGCTTACATTTGTTTTTCTTCGGCAGCGAGACAAATTGAGATAGAGGGAAACTCTTAATTCATTGAATGGTCTCATGTCCTCCCCGAATCCTTCTCGAGGAAACTTCCTTAAGGCATACTGGTACCTCTGTGCTGCCTCTTTCATCTTCCCTTTCTAGGACACAAAAATCACATTAGTGTATCTTTTCAGATGTGTCAAGATGCATTAGTTCCCAAGATGAAGATGATCCTGGTGAGGTTACCCACACCCTCCAAACCTTCACTCTTGTTTAGAGGGCCCCAGTGAGTGAGAGCAGAGCAGGATGCACAAGCTAGCCACGAGCACACTCACTGCCAGCACAGGCTTCCCAGTGTGTACTCCACAGCTAGAAGGAAGCAGGTTTTAGAGGAAGGGTAAGAAATTGCCAAGCTGATTACTATCGATCAATCCATCAGATTATTCTCCCTGTTAGACATTTTTCAAAGCCTTCTCATGAATGAATTCTCATTTTCAGGTATTTTATTACTGAGCTTAATAGAAATCAAGCGGGGAAAAAAAAATGATCCAGTTCCTAAGGCAAGTAGAGTCTTGCTATGGAGTAATATTTTTTCTTTTAAGGGAAACTATGCATGGACTCTAAAAATCAGAACAGCACTTCCCGTCATTTTCAAGGCTAAAGAAATCCATTTGCTCAGTCAGTTCTGTTTCACAGCAGGTGTGAAGTCTGTTGAAAATGGCTTGATATTTCTAGCATAATTGCCTACCAAAATTTGTATTAAAACCACTTCAAAGCCAGAACAACACACACTCTGAACTCAATTTCAAACTGATTCCAAGCCAGAAACCCTGCTGGGTCACGCTATATACCTATTTATTTTTTATTATTAAAAAAAAAGAAAAGGCAAAGTCTAAAACACAGAAAATATTGCACCCTCATGGCAAAAGGATTAAAATGGCCATACTCTAGTTTTTGGTTTTCATAATCTTAGTAATGTCTTAAAGGTGGGCAAAAAGGTGATCTACATCAATGTCCTAAGCACCTGTTTGATTTCAATCTGGTCTTCACTTATTTATACCATTACAGTTGGATTGGGGCACAGTCACACTCCATTGTTAACTGTGGCTGCTTTGATGCTGCAGTAACGAAGTTGGGCAGTTGTGACAGAGACCCCAGGGCTACGTCCAAAACATTTACCATCTAACCCTTCGTAAAGAAGTTTGTTGACCAACGGCATCTAAACTGATGTCTTATTGGGAAAATTTAAACTCATTAATCTGTCAATCACATTTCATTTCCAAGGGAAAATGAGGCAGGAGGAGACCTCCTCTACTGAGTAACTGAATATTATATATTACTTAGCTATCTTAAATACAAATATCTCTAGCAACAATTTCAGGTTCCAGAACTTTATAGATACAATAAAGGCAGTGGTCACAGAATGGCTCTTTTCTCACATAACTACTTAGAGGGCACTCCTCTCCTAGGCATCTCACGTCCACAGGCACACAGCCCCACCCTCTATGATGGACCAGGTAGACCAGAAACACCACCACCTTCATCCCAAGGCACCAGTCAGAGTCACTGGCACAGCTGCAAGAATTTGATCCAAAGTAAGGATTCTCACACAAATGGAAGTGCCTTTTACTTTAAAGATACTTCTGTGAAGATGCTGAAGCCTGGATATGAGGCTAACATGCCTGCACAGTCCTAACAAGCTGAAACTACACAGATTCTGAGCAGGGGCCCACTAAGGTGGCTCACCGGCTGTTAAGTCACAGAAAAGGGCAATACCACTTACTTTGTACAACACATTTCCTTCCTCCATTAACTTTTGTAAAAGTATAATCAAAATATCAGGTTTGGAAGTAGCCATCGCCCAAGCAGCATTTCCTGTAAAATAAACAAGCAGTTAGAAGCACTTCAGTCTTGGAGGAAAGGAATCTCCTGCTTCTGTGGCTCACAGGTGCAGAGAAGCACTGCCTATGTGTGCTGCAGGCTTCCAAGTGACAACGTCACCATGGACAAAAAAAAGCAGGACTAGGGGAGGTGGCTTCCCCTGAAACCCGTCTTAGGCTTCAGCAGTTAGGAGGGACTGTGGCAGCACAAACTTACTGTGGTGAGAAAGTAGCATCAGGGCAGCCATGGCCCTTCCCTCTCCTATGATGGGCTTTGGGGCAAGATCAATTAAGAGAGGCTCCAGAGTCCCTCAGTTTCCAGGGGCGCCCATCATGACTGCTGGCAAGGAGAGGAGCCTGTTCTTATGTGATCTCGCCCTCCCCTGTAGTCGCCATTACTATCTACTTGGGGACTTCAGGCTATGGCCCTTCTGCCCCTTCCCAGCACTCATGTGCCAGCCCTCCCTGCTCATGTTGAAGTCAGACTTCCTCCTGGTCCACAGCCCAGCTGCCATTCTTTCTTAGCCTCATCTGAACACTTAAGGGGGGGATGGCACTTAGGAGCACACACTCAGGGGTCAGGCGGCTCGGGATGAAAGGGCGATTTGCCACTAGCTAGAACTCAAGGAAGTTATTTACCTCCTTTGTAACTTAGTGGTGTCAGGTGAAGTAAGTTAAGACCTGAACTCACTCAGTATGCTCCTGTGGACTGCTTAGTAATATTAATGTCTCCTCATCATGGCAGCTCTACCCAGGACTTCAGCTGCCCATGGGTCTGGCACACTAGATCTCAACAGCAGATTCAGGGGCTCATTCCCACACATTACAAAAGCTGGTCATATCCAAAGCAGGTGCACATGAGGGGCTTTCCCTCACGCTTCTCCACCCCCTATATTACCTCAAGTGACCATGCTCTGGCCTCTAGTAAATCATGTGACCTCCTCACAGAAATTCTGCTGGTGTTGCCATTTCCCTACCAAGCTGGTGATGATGACCCCAGCACAGCGGTTCTCAAACTTGGCTGCTCAGCAGAACCATCAGTGAGCTTCCAGGGGCACTAACACTCCTGGTCCTGGAGGGCTCTTCTAGCCACCCCACAAGTGGTCTCTGGGCACCCTGAGTATTATTCACCACAGTCTACTTTCTCCTGGTGGCATGAATAATGCAAGCCTTCTAGATGGCTACATTAAAGGAGCCTTGGAGAAGGAATGAGATCTACAAACACCTGGCAACTTGACCTGAAAGCAGGCCTGTGTTTATGGTTCTTAAAGACACTCTAGCATATCTTGGCTGAACTGGGGGGTTTTACTGACCCAATTTGGCGCCTTTCCGCAGCAGTGTCACCACCACTGATGTGTTTCGACAACCAATAGCTCTGTCCAAGGGACGCATCCCACTGTGGTCCACATGCTCAATCACAGCTCCCTTCTCAACCAGATACAGCACCTGCAGTGGGAGAACAGGCCCTGAGGAGCAGCTCGCCCGCCTCTGCACCCTGGTTTGGAGTGGGCATCCTTATTGTTCTTCTGATCGTTGATGCCTTTCATCACCAGGGATCCCACAATGGAAATGAAGTTGACAGGAAACAGAAGAGGAGATGTTAAAGTCAACTGGACATCAGCAGTGTGAAAGACATAGGAAGGTTCCTAGGGATAGCTTGGGTGTACACGAACTTATCATATCCTTCACCCTTCCCAGGCCAGAGAGACACTGGCACGTCTTTCACTGCGGGTACTCAGAGGCACACCGCCTAGTAGCTCCAGCAGGTTGGCAGGTTTGGTCAAAGGGCACTTCACAAACTCAGACCCACACAGCCTCAGGTAATGAGCAGCTTGGGATCAAATTATTGGGATTAGAGAGATGGCTAGTGTGAGACCATGACTTTCAGTGATAAAACCTTTTTACTTTAACTAAAGAGAACAGGAAAAACCACTTTGGCTATTCAAATTGCTCTATATAACAGAAAAGCAGCCTGTAGCCAATTTAGATTTTTCTGGTGGGCTTGATCAATAGTCCACCAGCCATTCAATGCACCAGAGGAATTAATATTCCAAATATATAAAGAACTCCTACAATTCAAAAACACGAAATCCAAAGAACTCAATTAAAAAAGGGCCAAAAGATTTGCATAGATCATCTCCAGAAATAAGCAAATGGACAACACACATATAATAAGATGCTCAACATCACTAATCACTAAGGAAATAAAAACCTGAATCTCAAAGAGGTATCACCTCATACTGTTAGGATGGCTGCTATCAGAAAACAAAACAGAAGAGAAAATAAGTGTCTTCTACAATCTGGAAAAATAGGAAACTTGTGCATGTTTGGTGGGAACGTAAAGTGACATAGTCTTGTCATAGTCAGCAGTAGGCAAAGGAGGGGGAGGAAGAGGAGTCCCTGAAAGGAGAAAGCTAGCAGGGGATAGTAGTTCCTGGTAGTGCTTAGTGCCCAGATCTTTCCTCTTGAGCATCTGAGTCCATCGGGATAACCCATGCCTGGGTCCATGTTACTTAGGAACTGCTTACAGTAGCAGAGCATGGCAGTTCCTTGACAATGTAAAGAACAAACATGACCATGTAAGCCAGCAATCCCACTTCTGGCTCCAGATCCAAAAAACTATGGATACACCCATGTTCGTAACAGCACTACTGACAGCAGCGGAAGGTTTAGAAGCAACCCAAATGCCCATTAACAATTGAACAGACAAACAAAATGTGTTAGATACATAAAGTGGAATATTATTCACCCTTAAAGAAGGAAGCCCCATTACATAATAGTATGCAATATGGATAACATTGGTGGCATTTGGCCAAATGAAATAAACCAGGTACAAACGGACAAATATTTGTATGATTCCATGAAGATGAGGGACCTAGAGTGGTTAGATTCATAGGCATGTAAAGTAGAAAGCTGATTCCCAGACACTGCAGGAAAAAAAAAAAAAGAGGATTTGCTTAACAGGATAGTTTGTTTTACAAATGAAAACCGTTGGGCACTGTTTGTAGAACAATGTGAAATGTACTTAATTAACCTGACCACAAATGAATTCTCCACTGAGAAATGGCTAAGATGATAAATCATATTATTTTCTTTTACTACAATTTTAAAAATGACATTAATATACTAAGCTCCCTTACTCTTCTCTGATGTTGATGAGCTGCAGGACCTGCTAAGATAGTATAAACTGATAAATGAATATGTGAGGTACAGTTAAAATAGCTGTTTTGAAAAATGACATTAAGTATAGTTTACAAAGTCCAGGAAATTTAAGACCATTTAATTCAAACATTACTGACTTTTTAAAAATATCGAGACACAGCTGTGTAGGGACATGATATCTTCTGCTCCCAGCTCCTTGGCTTCCAGCAACACAACACCTGCTTCTCTAGCCAAACCCTACATTGGACACTGTTAAATGCTTCTCAACATTAACTGTCTGGAGCACACAGTTCTTGTACCTGCGGGGTGCATGAGCTACAGAACCACACAAAGTCATGTTTCTGCCCAAAATGACATTTGATTCTTAACTTGCTGAGGTATTATTCCTCCTGCCTCAGTTAGACTTAGGTACTTGAAAGAGATGATACCCTATACATCTTACATTTTTTTTTCTGGACAATGCCACATCACTTTAAAAATAGTGACTTTTTTGATTAGTAATTTCTCATAATCTAAAAGTGGCTTCTGAATGTTAGATTCAGGAGTCCTATTTATATGGATTACTGGGAAAAAAAAAGCTGCACATGCACACAAAATAGATAAAGTGACTTATACATGTGTGCATGTTCCTATATGTGGATGCTGTGTGAGCAGTTTATCATCATGTATTTTTAAGGCTTTTATGAGCCCATTGAAGTCTTTACTGCAAATATAAAGAAACAAAGCAGAGAGACAAAACTAACTATATGCATTTAGAAATCTGACCACAGAACTGACGCTACCAGAAGTGGGAGGTGGAGATGAAACAAGGAAGGGAGGTGGGTGAGGGATTAGGGGTGCTCTGTAGGTGGCTGTGGTGCTAGATCTGAGAAGGTGTGAACCTGTACCCCTAAATCAGACAGTGTTGTAAACCCATATTATCACAACAAAATAACTAGACTTGCTGCGGGGGGCGGGGGGATCTCCCTCACAGCTCTGGAATTGAGAGCATGACAAAATCCGAGGAAAGTGAAAGACACGCCCAGCACACACATGCTGCCCACACTCAGCACAGGTTCCCACACTGGACACGTTGCATTCCTGGTCTCCGCAGCTGGCCCCATTAGCAGGTGGCCAGTGCCCGTGGTACGTACAGTCTCTGCATCTCCATAGAAGGCAGCCAGGTCCAGCGGAGTGCGGCCGTTCTTGTCCGTCTGGTCTATCTCAGCTCCTTCTTCAACCAGAAACTGGACCACTGCCCTGCGACCTTTCAGACAAGCCCAGCTTAATGCAGACAGACCTTCTTTGTCCAGAGCAGAAAGGCTGGCCCCTGAAAGAAAAGCCCATTCACAGGTGACCTCTGGAGAGCAAGCCCAGCACAAGTTGTTCCTTCCCCGCCAATGCGTGGCCTGACCTGCCTGGCAATCAGGCTGTGAAATCTGAAGCAGACAGGCAAGACCAGTCACCCTTGTTGCTGAGTAATGGGCACAGGGCTGCAGTTCCAGCTCTCCATACCAGGGTGTTTGCTGGAACATTTCCATTTGAATAGGAAACTAGTGAATGGAGCTGCCAAAGCCCTTTTCTTTGTTGAACCAAAAGGATCCTACCCAGGGACAGATGTGCTGCTACCTTTTGAAAGGAGAAATTCCACGGTGCTCAAGTGCCCTTCACATGCAGCCACCATGAGGGGTGTCCGGCCCTGCTTGTCACTTAGGTTCACATCACAGCCATGTTCCAGCAGTAACCTGACGATCTGAAAGAAACACTCAGAATGACATCCTTCCTGCAGCACTTCAAATCATGCACTCCATACCCAGGCATGTCTGACCACCATTAAAAGTCATGAAAGGACTCTTTAAAAACACGTCTGTGCTGTATAATCTGTGCAACCTGTAAGATCTTTTTGTAGCCTCCCTTTGAACATCCCCTCCAAATGTATATTCTTGTCAACACAGCCAATTGATTGCTCTCTCTACAAAGCAAGCAAGCACATACTTGGGAGAATCAGTAATATGGAGGAGCAGGGATGCCAGTCACAATCATGATGACAGGACAGCAGCGTCGGGACAACAGAGCACAACTGAAGGGAGCCAGTCCCGGTGCTCAGGGATTGCAGCCGAGCTCTACAGTTTCTACAACTGGGGGGCGTGGGGAGGTGGGGGAAGAGTAGCCTGACTTAGAGAGTGCTAATTTTTCTACAAAGCTTCCTGGAGGTTCTCAGGGCTGTGCCTTCAGACAGGAATGGGGAGCAACATCAGACACTGAGCAGTGGCTCCTCTGACCACCCTCCCAGAGTAACTGCTTCATCCTGTCCAGCCTCCCTCAAGCAGGGCAAGCTGTATCACCACAGCAACACTAATCATTTCTTATTCTTGATGCAACACTAATCATTTCTTATTTCTTATTCAGTGCTGTCCAAAGTTCTCCACGACTTAGGAAACATGGAGACCAGGAGAAGGGATCAGATCTGGCTTCCACAGAAGCTATGAGGGTGACAGGGAAACTAAGCTCATGAAAATGTAAAGGAGAAAAGCCAGAACCTCAGTGGGAAGCTCACATAATCATCTACCAGTGGAGCCAGTAGCAATCGGAAGAGATTTGATTTCATACTGTAAACTTGGAGCTAGGAAGTTCTTCCTGAACTGCACATGGCAGACTGCACTGATGCATTTGTAGATTGTGTCTAACTAGGTGCTAGGCATGGGTGGATCCATGACCACTGTTTACAGAAAGTAGTAAATGACTGAACTGCAGCTCTCAAGGATTCATGAAAGGCAGCAACATGTCATTCCCTGAGAAAGAAACCAGCTTAAATCACAGGGCTTATCCGGAGGGGAAGATTTCTTTCACAAAGAGTACAAGAAAACCACTCTTTGCAGTATTGGGGCAGATGTGTTACACAATCCCAACAACAGACTTCTACTACCATGATGGGGCCCCCCTAAAACCCAGTTACAAGGCAGAGTGGATCTCTGTTGGTTACCAGCCTACATGTGTGACTGTTACACCTGTGAAATAATTAGCTTTTATCAAGTAGGGCTGAGATCCCAGAACATCAAAAAGACAGGGCTCAGGTAACCTCATGAGACTTGGGGAGAAATAAGCAGCAGTGAATGCTACTCCCATTTGAGCTCTCTGAAGTGCTGGGGGCCCTCTGGGTACCTGCCAATGCCCCTGGCGTGCTGCACAAAACAAAGGTGGGACTCCTCTCCGGTTAGTCCGCGACACGGCAGCTCCCCGCTCCAGCAGCAGCTCACAGACCTCCAGCTTCCCTCGTCCTGCAGCGGCAGTCAGGGCTGGAGTCACAGGGGAGGAGTCTGTTAGTATGTGATGGTTAAAGGTGTCTGCAGATTCTCCTGTCTTCCTCCCACTGAGAGGAAGGGTCTGTGTAGTTCCCCTTTCTTGAACCTGGATGAGTTCTGAGGCAGCTCTGACCCACAGACTCTGGCAGAAATGATGCTATGGCAGTGTCTGGGCCCAACCCAAATGACCAACTGCGTGTGCCACCCTGGATGGCTACCCAGCTGAGTCCCAGGTGAACTTGGCCACACCAACTAAGGCTGAGCAGACATGAGCCAGCCTTAGTGAGCCCAGCCCAAATGTAGCAGTCACTAGCTTTTTGTTTTATTGTTTGTTTTTATAGCAAGAAATCATCAGAAGATAGTGTCAACACAGTGCAAACCCAGAAGTCAGTTATTCCTGTTCCGTCTGGTCTCTTACCCTAAAGTTATCTATTTCCATCAACAAGAATAGTTACTGAGGTCAGTGATGAGCATATCACATCATTCCTGCCTTTATGGAGTTCAGAATCCTTAACAAGTCAAGATGTGCCATCAGGAATGTTGAGAACACAGAAAAGGAGGCCTTGGGCACACAGCCCCATGTGACCTTGAAGGCAGAGAGGTGGTAAAAGCTACAGAGAGGAGAACAACTGTACCAGGATAACAACAGTGCCAAAGAGAAGAATATAGAGCAAGGGGCTCACGCAGACCTCACCTCAGTGACTGCCTCCCCACGCCCAAGTCTTAATTCTTAATGGGGGGTACAAAGGGGCCTCTGCTACTATCATGTGAATTTCTATGTAAGAAAAACACAGCTGGAGGTTCTGGGGACAACCCAGGCCACACTCCTCAGAGGACACAAAGGGGCTGCGAGCAGGGAAGGAGAGGCGCAGAAGGGAGTGGCTGGCTGGGGAAGTCACACTGAGGGAAGGGCGGAGAGGATGGAGCATGATGCTGGGGCTGCACTGCTGGTGCGTGCATGCAACAGCTTCTGCTTTTAAATACAGTCTCAAATCTACAAATTTCCAGCTTTCAGAACAGATCAAGTGTTTGCTACAAACTCAGACATCTCCGTATGAACTGTGGGGGAAACACAGGAATAGGCCCTTCACTAGAGGAGAAGCTCAGTGAGCTGAAACGTGCTCCAGCTCATCAGTGGGGGAGGACAGAGTGCGACAGTAGGGGTGTTCTTGCACTGCTGGGCGGGGTAGCCCGCCCTGGGAAACAGCTCGATGCTAGTGAGCCCACAGACGCACAGATCCCATTACCCAGCACCTGCCCCTGGGAGCATGCGCCTGGAGCTGCTCTTGGCGTGCCTGGAGAGCATGCCACAGTGCGCAGAGCAGCCCTGAAGTAGAAGCAGAGCACGTGGCTATCAACAGTAGAATGCATCAGCAAAGGAAGGTACAGCCCAACAGTGGAATACGATACAGCAGTGACAGTACTGCTACACATCACAGTGGGTCGTTCACACCAATTCAATATTGATTAAGAAAACAAAACACAAGAGTGACTTTGTTCATTCAGCGTAAACAGCCCTGGAGGAGCCTCTACCTGGCTATCCTTTTAGGAGGAACAGGGCCTAGCACAGCTGCAAATCTTTGGTTTCTGTCCCACTCTCCTTGGCACTGAGGACAGAGAAGTCAACTGCTCAGGAATGTGGCTTTGCACATACATGTCTGGGACCCTCTGTCCTTCTCTCACCCTGTCTCAGGTCGAAGAACTGTAAGTACACCACGTGGCAGTTGGCTTGGGCAGGGTTCAATCCCATAAGCCATAAACATGTAAAAGAATGTAAACTGACGTGGGCTCCAGCTCTCTGTGACAAAGAGCAGTTTCTCTGAAGAACAAAGTCTGAAGTCCCCATGGATCACTGTAGTATGCACCTCCTCACTCACAGGAGGTACCCACACCAGGGCCTCATGTACAGGCAACGTTAGGAAGGCAGAGGGATTTCCTAATGAAATGTTCAAAAACCAGCTCCTGACATGATGCTACAGTCAAGGGTTGCTAAGGGGCACAGGCCCAGGGACACCTGAGTAGGTTATCCCAATGGACTCAGAGAGGCTCAAGAGGAAAGAACTGGCCACTAGGCACTACCAGGAACTACTGTCCCCTGCTAGCTTCCTCCTTTCGGGGGCTCCTTCCTCCCCTCCTCTGCCCACAGCTGACTGTGACAAGAAGGAATGAGCAACTGCACACACGCATGCGCGCGCACACACACACAGAGGCCAGGGCATGGTGGTAGGACTCCTCCATGCCTTGAGGTCGAGCAGTGAACCCACCCCCCAACATTCCATTCTTCTTTATTTGCTAAACAAGTTTCGTCCACATTATAAACAAAGCCTTGAAATCAGGATGCTGATTGCAGCTGCTACTGAATTTTTGCAAGGGTAGCACATCAGATATGACAGCTACTACTAAAAATAGGGCTGTGTGTCTCACAGAGGCGCCGGAGCAGCTAGAGCTGGGACAGCTGAGGAGTGGGTGGTCAAGGCTGCGGCCCCAGTTGCGGCCCCGGTGAAAAGGCCTGACCTGGTCTCTCCCTTTCGGGCCCAACTCGCAGTGAGCTAACATGCTCGGAGGGGACACACACCTTAGCACAGGCTGAAAGCGGCTCCCACAGTCTGCTTGTCCTAAACAGGTCAGCATTCTGCACAAATTCTCAGTGAGACTCTTGTTAAGTGCCCATAAACAAGAGGGCCTGTGTTTCCTTCTGTTCCTTAGATTGAGTATTTTTGGCCCTAACACTCAGGACCCTTGAGGCTAGGGTGCATCTCAAGTTTCAGCAACCACAAGCATTTAAGAATACCATATTCGGAAACATAAGGGACTGAAGAGCAGTCAACTACATGCTTAAACAAACAAAACCAGGCCTAACTCTATGCAGGAATTCCAGCTATTCTGTAGAAGAGGCTGTCCTCTGAGCTGACCACTGCATCTAACAGGTCAGCGCATACTGCCTGGCTGGCAAAAATAGAAGGGACCTGGCGGAGGAGAGCAGGCCTGCAGCAGGACAGCGCCTTGTCTTCTGGCTGGTGAGACTCAGATGGAGGAAAAAGGCGACACTATGAAACCGATTCCTAAATTGATGTGAACACACATCTTTAGTACTGATTTAGGACATAATTTCTTTTACCTGCAAAATCCTGAACAAGTTGGCACTTTTATAATTAAATTCCCATGTATTTTCTGATAACGGTGAGTGATTTTATCCCAGCAGTACTGTCCCATTTCAGAGCACGAGCAGATCTGTCATGGCAGGATGCTCATTTTAAGAAAACCCAAGACGCTCAACAGTGTATGAATGCACTGAAAACTGAGGTGAGGCTTTTCATCAACACAATAGGTTGCTCTTATCTTTTTCATGCTAATGTTCTCTGGGCAAAGATTTGATTTCTAAAAACTCAGCTGTCAGTGTCAGGAACACAGTGATGCCACAGACAGGACAGTCCTGGGGTTCTGATGGCAGAGTTGTCACTCACCCACCAGGGACCAGCTACCTGGGCAGAGCAGTGTGACTTTCTCCCACCTTTGGCTCTGTAACCAATTTAGAGCTGTGGAGAGAAGGCTGACAGGTCAGTGTGCACAGAGACCTTTCATTAGTTACACACTAATGACCCAAATTTCCCCCTCCCCCACCCCCGCAGGAGTGGGGAGCAGTGAGGAGCCTGTGCCTGCAGAAGGGCGCTCCCTGCTGGCTGAGTGATGAGGGGCAGGGTGGTTCCGCTCTGCTTGTATACTTGTGCTTAATAGAGCAATGTATCTCCTATTATGCCGGCTCCCTTCCTAGTTTATAAAATGAACAGTTTTTTTTTTTTTTAAAGATTAAAGGTGCCTATATACATAGTAAGCTGTGGGATTCTCATAAATGTCATTTTGTTTGACCAAATGGGAATCATTTGGTATGACAAAGGCAGTGAAATAGAGACCTCAATCGGCAGTTTCCAGACAAGCCCCATTCAACAGCCCCATTCAACAGGTGCCTGCAACACAGGCCTATTTCTCAGGTATTTTACCTAATAGGTAGAATGGAATCAGGGGTAAGACTTTTAAAAACTGCACTAGCAGTCCACCTTCCCTTCACTTTCTAACAACTGACCTTTTAAGCAGTTGTTACACAGCAGCTGACCATGGCCTGTGTTTGCTTTGCTGCCATCAGGTCTGAGCTGGGCAGTCACACTGAAGGCCTCAGAAAGGTAGGCCCCAAGTCCTGATTGAAAGAACATGTATGAACCCCCCCCCCACCTCCCTGCAAAAGTGAGCCAATATCCCACCATCTTCTAGAAAATGGGTTAAGGTTTCTAACACCCCCACCTCACAGCCTTGCTTTGTCAGGCACTTCCTTCCATTGTGGAGGGAAGAGAGACAAACTTCCCAGCAGCTATAAATTCTTCAACTCCACAAAGACTGGGCAGTTATTTGATCTAAACCACAACAATGTAAAGGATAAAATAAAACACAATCAAGGTTTCTCTTACTGAAAAATGGCATTGCAATGCAAGAGGAACCCCGGAGAAGCTTCCTGCAGCCCCCCATCCCTGACTGAAGCCTGGGCTGGGAGGGGCACGACCATTCGGCGACCTTATGAACGGGAAGCCAGCACTACACTGATGCTCTACAGATCCCCCAAGTCATTGTTTGGAATACCTTCCTTATTGTTCTGACCCTTCCTTCCTTTTCTCCTGTGGCAGTAACGCTGCAGAGGCTGGCCTGGCTGGGGTCACAGAGGGTCTCTGTGATATAAGCCAGCATGCTGCAAATCAGCGTACCACAGAAGCACAGCCACCCTGCCCCGTCCAGTTTCCCAAAGAGCTATAATAGGAAACCAAAACAAGGCAGCAACCAACTCTGGGAAGCCATGCTGTTGGTCTGTGTATGGATTGAAGATCAAACATGAGCCTCCATTGCCAGGGAGTTTTTTAGAAGTAGAAGATGTAATTACCTCTAAATAAGACTTTACCAGTAAAATTCTAATTCTTTATATCTGTTGATTCAAATTTTTAATCAAGTTA